TTGACTAACCTTTGTGATGATTCATAGCGTTGAGATTGCATTTTTATTTATGTCTTTCAAACGTTTGAGGCTAGAACGCGAGCAAATCAGGCAGATATTACTGGACTTGGAGCGATTGACCTCCGACACGAGTTTCAAATTAGAAAATATGTTTTTAAAGCGAGCGGAACGAGATTTTCGGGTCGCGAGGCGGCCCAGCTAGCGATAAAATCGCGATGAGTCTTCGAACCGCGAGCCAAATTTTTATATAAGACGAAAGACTTCTTCGAAAGTCTAAAATATTACTTGAGAATATAAACAACAAATCTCTGTCGGCGGTGCGGTCCGGAAGGAAATCTTGTCGAGTCAACTTGACAGTTCTATTGTCTTTTGAAGAAAAAACAGATGACGCTCGCGCGTGCGCATAATCGGGACACTGTCCCTTTAAGAGCCGGGGGCCGGGGATTGATAGATCCAGAAGAAATCCCTGGCTGATTGATTCCCTGCTTACTTGAATGAATGTGTACTAGCTCTTTTCCGGCTGATGGCGATTATTACTGGAAAAGAATTTTCCATTAAGCGCCTGTTACCCAGACTGATAATTATAAAGTGATGATGTTGATGGCGTTGTGAAAGAAAATGTTACTAAAAAGCAACAGGAATTTCAATTCAGCCCCGGTGAATGTTGTTTTCGAGCACGTGCCTTGCAGATTTGTGATAACGCAAAGGATTGTACTTCGAGATCTTTTATGCATTTTTTTGCAAGTTCAATCCTGAAGTCTTGCTTTCTATGACAATGTTATCGATGTGAAGTTGGTCATCACAAGGAAAGTTTTGTTTACGTGAGCACATGCCAATCAGAGGTTCGATTTTTGATGTTGATTGTCATGTTGTGAAGTTCTGTCAACTCAAACTCAAGATAATTTTGTGAGTGATGTTTCCTTCTACATTATTGTTACGTTAGCTTGGTTTTGGTTGTGTAAAACGTGACTGTTTCCTTGATTCGTGAAATAAATTATGCGATCGAAATACATGTAGCGAAAGTTGCACTTGGCGTTTTGCATCTAAATTTTCTTCAGCTTGCACCGGGTCGATCCACCAGTTTTAAGCTTGTTGATCATTCACCAACACATAACACCTCTACACAAAGAGCTAGGTCATACATACTAATTAGTCTTAATGCGCACCTTGATGCATTTCAGAGCACACGCATCGGCTCATCAGCTCAGACGACGCACGGATGCATCCAGCCTGACGCAATTGAGTCCTCTTTCCTGATGCATACACCTTGTATTACACGTCTATTTTGGTGTGCTTAGTTCTGGCCTGCACTGTACTTTTCTCTTTCTCTCCTTCCCTCTTTTTTCGCTTGTTTTGCCTCATTTTTTTCTCTTACTGGGCATTTTGTGGGAAAAGTTTTTAGAAATGCTTTTAGAATGTTAGAGTTAGCTGAAAGGAAAGGTAGGTGGGTATAGTTATAGTAGCAGTGGAACAAGATTTTCATGGAAATTTTCAGGTCAATATTACATGGTTTTTTTGCCTTTTTCTCCTGTGTCCTTGACTGAATTGTGTTCATTCTGGTATGGTTTGAAAGATCTCTTCACTTTGCACAAGTTAGCGGCCACAAGTTGTCCATTCCCGTTTAAACTGATGATGTCACAAGCAGTAGAAGCACATGGGTTTAAAGGTGACACAGCAGTCTTGACTTTTACTTTTCTCTTTCTCTCCTCCCCTCTTTTTTCGCTTTTGTTGTCTATTTTTTTCTCTTGCTGGGCATTTAGTAGGCTTCATTAATTTTGGTGGGAAAGTTTTTTGGGAAAGCTTGAATTAGGATCCTTGAATTACATGAAAGGAAAGCCAGGTTGGTAGTGGAACAAGATTTTCATGGAAATTTTCAGGTCGATAGTACATGCATGGTTTTTTGCCTTTTTCTGTGGTGTCCTTGACTGAATTGTGCTCATTCTGGTATGGTTTGAAAGATCTCTTCACTCTGCATAAGTTGGCGGTCACAAGTTGTCCGTGACTGTTAAAACTGATGATGTCACCAGCAGTAGAAGCACGTGGCCTGGCATCGGCGGTTACGGGCGGCTCAGGAGCGAATGGTTTAATAAATCATTTATATAAAAACTAAACAGAACAGGACCAAGAATGGACCCTGTGGAACTCCATATATAATCAACTGGAGAGACTGCAAAACCACATCCCCAATAGAAACATACTGGTACCTTCCTTTTAGATAACTTTTGAACCATTCTAGTGCTGATGGAGACACTCCAAGGCTACGAAGTTTAAATACATCTAACAACATGTTGAGGTTTATACTGTCAAAGGCTTTTGACATGTCCATCAACACCAATATTGAGATTTTCTTTTCATCCATAGCTTTTCATACAGTGTAGGTCATCAGTTACAGACAGAAGAGCCATTTCAGTGGAATGGTGTTTATGATTGCCACTTTGGAATTGTGCTAGCTTGTTGTTATCTTCTAAGAACGTGATAAATTGTCTGTGAGCCAACCTTTCATTTACTTTGGATAATACTGGTAATAGTGATATGGGCTGATTGTCACATGGGTTTCCAGCATCGCCATCTTTAAAAACACAAGTCACTTCTGCAATTTTCCACACACTTGCGAACATATTAGATTTAAGGGAATTTATTGTTCATCAGGGATGTGATTATATGCAACATAGCTGGTAAACTATCCTTAAGTATTCTTGTACACTGTACCTTTGGTGTGACATAATTATCACTTGTGAGAAAAATCGTCCGACCAATCAAATTGCTAGTAATTTTTAAATGATGTTATTTACTTGTTAAATTGTTTTGTTATTTTTCTCTTGAGACAAAGACAGAAAAATCCTCCCAATTTTCCATAAATTATTGCTGAATTTTTGGGGGAAACTCTGCTGGGAGACAAAGAGCATTTGACTGTATAAATTTCAAGAAATCTCCCAACCCCTGGAGTGTTTGTGCTACAAGTTTACAACCTATGGGACAATAAAATTTTGGGACACTAACACGTTTATCAGACACGGTGTTCTTACCAGTGTTCTTACCAGTGTTTATACTTTTTCTGGAAATGCCATTAATACTATAAGTAGCCCAAGGGGTCCCACATGTGTAAGGAAGGAAGAAAGCAAAAACATACATACATTTCCTTATAATATTAGCCAAAATTTAATTGGTTATGGCGTCTTTACTCTGACTTACAGCTGTAAAACGTTGAGTTAAGTGTTTGTAAAATTGGATTAATGTATGAGTTATCTACTCTTACTCAGACCTGTGAGTAAAGCATTGAGTTAACTGTACATGTATCTGAAAATTGTGATCCGCTTTTCTCCCTCATGACCCCTTTTCAACTTCTCTATGGGTCCTGTGGACCCCCAGTGTGGAAAATCTTGGTAAGAACGCTACAGAGATGATGGGATAGTATGTTGAAAAGTAATCTAGCTTAAAAACATCAGTTTCAGATAGATTCACCAACAGTCAAACCAAAGGCAGAATGGAAGTGCTGTAAAGCATTTAAGAAGGATTAACAGGTCTTACCTCCCCTGGTGCTGTGACGTGGCGGGGAGGCTTGCATGCCCTTGGGACCAATAGAGCTATGATGGCGGGAGCTTACATGTATGCTCCTGGTAGGTTGAATTATGCCGGATTGCTCCAAGGTAGAAGGGCCAGACTAAACAGCACCCTGGTCCTCCAGGTTGGAGGTTTAGTGCAGGGTTAACAACTCTGCCTTGTAAAACACAACATTTTAAAACTTCATTAGAAAAAACATGATGAAAGCACCTACAGCTATAGTAGAGGCCACTCAGTGGGAAAAGGACAAATGAGCGAGTTGGAGATCTTCTGAAGAATGAGCTACAGATGCAGCAAAAAAACTCCACCACTCTCATTGAACTGGCCACCAAGTAAATAACCACACCTGCACTTCTCTTTACACAGGTGATAAAGAAAATTTGTTACTACAAGATAACAAGAGATCATCTAAGAGTTATCCAGACAGAACTTGTGTCAAGGATCAGTCTCAAACTTCTCAATGCATGTGCCACCCAACACCAGGGAATCCAGGTTCCACAACTGCATCCCTGATGCCTGCCCCATACATTCCAGATATCTGCTGGAAACTTGAGGAAGATACTACTTGTATGAGATTGGATTCCTTACAGTTGCTGGTTGCTTGTGTATGACTAGATTCCAGTGAAAGCTGAACTTGTGGATATGGTGTAGTGGTGTTTGGCCGATGAACTGTTTTGACAGAAACCGGTATCACTTGGGGTGCGTTGACCTTTGGGATGATAGGGATTTAGTAGGATCGGAGATCCCAGACCACTTGGATCATGGTAGATCAAATGAACCAATGAATTTTTGTTCAGAGTGGAGTCATCAGTTCATTTGATCTACCATGATCTGAGTGATCTCGCATCACTTATCCTCGTTTGTATCGTCTCAAAGAACCCACTCTTAATAATCTACATGCCACGAGAGATCAGCAAACATAGAACTGGTCAACTTATAAACCAGTAAGTATGGAAACCAGAAACTCATACTAACTGTTATTCCCTATTTGTAGTGTTCAACTACAAAGGCATCCTCTGTGCTTGCCCTATTGCTGTAGTGTGGACCTGGTAAACCCAGGATACCCAAATAAGTTGGTACTCAAACTGACTGTTTCTCTACTCCTGTTGTGATTGTGGTCACTGCATGACCATTTACCTGTCTTCATTTGATTATGGCTATCATTATCACTCTTGCTCAAATCCTTGAAGGAACACAGTTTACAGCCGTCAACATACAGCAGATTTTTAAGTGGGATTAAGAGACGCTTGATCTATGGCGGTTGTTGTTTTTTCAATTTCAGTACACTTTTTGACATGAAACATTGATTTGAATTTAAATAATTGACTTTTGTACATGTACATGTACTTGTTATCATATTTCATATATCATTAAATTAGAAGGAGTGTGGTGGTACGATTTCTTGCTTGTCATGTGGAAGAAAGCGGAGCAGGTATTGAGGCTGAACCACTGTTGCTTTTTTCCCTCCACCATGTACCCTGGATTTGTCGATCAGGTATGTGACTTAATTCAATTTTTCGGATTAATAACTGTCTAATGCCTTTCATTGAGAATTGACATTACATGGTTTTAAAGCTGGAAAAAGCTATTTAGCATAACAAGAGTGACTTGTTGATTAAGTATTTTGTGATACATTGTGATGCTGATTGCTCTATGGACCTCCTAAACACCTGATTTAATAACACACCCACTCAGTCAGTTCTCATACTGACTGTTCCTCTTCATTTGTCGTCATCATGGATCCACAACTCCACTCTGATCCCTATACATTCCAGATAACTGACTGGAAACTTGTTAAATAGCATTTAAAAAGATGTAAAACGAGTTGCAGGAATAAAACCAACAAATACTCCCACTGCGCTTTATTCTCTTTTCATACATAGGAGTGTAACTAAGGAAAGAATGTCAAGGGATTCGTGACTGGGGGAAAAGTGCGACAATATCCTTACTTTGTCAGACTTTTCCACACTTCCACACCTCTGAGAAATGTGGAACTAAGTAAAGAATGACCTAGGGTTCATGACCGGGGAAAAGTGTGACATTATCCTTACTTTGTCGGACTTTTCCACACTTCCACACCTCTGAGAAGTGTGGAACTAAGTAAAGAATGACAAAGGGTTTCATGACTGGGGAAAAGTGTGACATTTTCCTTACTTTGTCGGACTTTTCCACACTTCCACACCTCTGAGAAGTGTGGAACTAAGTAAAGAATGACAAAGGATTCATGACTGGGGAAAAGTGTGACATTTTCCTTACTTTGTCGGACTTTTCCACACTTCCACACCTCTGAGAAGTGTGGAACTAAGTAAAGAATTACAAGGGGTTAGTGCCTGTGGGAAAAGTGCGGCAATATCCTTACTTTCTCAGACTTTTCCACACTTCCACACCTCTGAGAAGTGTGGAACCAAGTATGAAAAAGGAAAGTATGGATCTTGTGGCCAGCACTGGACATTTGTGTAAGCTAATCTAGGTAGGTCATGTTTACAGGAAATAAATACAACTAAATACAACTAAAAGTAACAAGAGAACTTAAAGAAACACTTTCACTTTGTCTCCCATAAGTCAACGAAGAAAAAAAGAAATGTTCTTAACTAGCCTAACAACAAATACACAGATGCGAGAATGTGGAGATCATACATGATCGTGCCCGGTAGTCACTTGCGGGAAACAGAAAACGAAAGAAATGTCAAATTTCTGTTTGAAAAACGTGGTAGCAGTCTTTAACTATTTATGAGAGAGTTTTTGAAACAGTATTTGACTGAGAAACAAAACAGTCATTTACTTACTTACGCAGGACCATTGCTTACCAGAAGTGGTCACTATAAGAGAGATGATTGCATACATATACATAATTTGTAGTAATCGCTAGTAATGGCTAGCAGTAAACTGATTCCTTTAAGTTATTAACCTTCAGTCGCCATGCCTGGCCAGCGGTTTTGGGTATTTGAGTATTTGCATCTTTGTTATTCAGGTATACGGTATTTTGGTGTCACAATACAGGTATAGGTCAGTACCTTGTTTTCCTGAAGTTTTGGTATTTGATACTTAGACACAAGTTTTTGAATTTTTTTCATATATGAATGTACTTGACACAGTTATCAAATATCCTCACCTGAAGTTCGCCAGGGGCTGGCAAAGGAGGGAACAGAAAAAGCTCATGATCAATAGCCGTGCACCAAAAGTTGTACACTGTTTCTGGGTTTGTTATCTCTCAGTAAACTGACGAATCGTTTTTAGGTAAATGGTATTATGTTTAAGGCAATTTTAGGTGCTGGTATTCAGTATCATAGCCTGCAAACACAGACATATTTCTGGTCATCACTTCTCTCCACCTGAAAAGTAACGACTGTGTACCAGAGCAGCTAAATGATTTCTGAGATATAAACCTTTTGCTTTGTTGTTGAGCAATCAGAATATAGGATAAAAGTAAAGCTCCAGTGACTCCTTACAACCTCGTGAGCTTGCATGTCTAGGTTTTTGACAAGATTTTTCAAATAACCTTTGGATCAGGATTTTCCAGACTATAAGCAAGATTCCCTGCAATGTTCACTGTTGTTCACATTTATCGTTTTGAACATGATCAAAACAGTAAGGTGTGATACATCATTGAATCCATAGGCAAATAAAAATATCCCCCTAATCTTTTCTTCAATATGAATCAGCTTGGTGCTTATTTCATCAATCGGTTCCACAATCCTGGCAAATTAACTTTTGTACACTAACCATCCAGTTGTTTTGAATTGTAAACATATCCACCGTGCATGAATCATGCAAGAACTCTCACGACTTAGTTCTTGGTGTTTAAGAGCTACACTGTGATTGGCTGATAATGTCCTACAGTTGTATGTCACAGAAATCATTGGGCGGCTCTGGTTCTAAGATGTTACTTTTCGGGTGGAGAGAAGTAACATCCCAAAATGTGTCTGCGTTGGTCTGCGTTTGCAGGCTATCAGTATCAAAGATTTTTTTTTTAAAGGTGTACTGTTATCTGATGAGGAAATATCGGCTATATTGGTATCTCAATACCCCCCTGGGCGGGCCTGATTCACATTTAAAGCACTATTTTTTTTTTCCTCTTCCAAGAAAGCCAAAATGACGTTCGTACATAATGATACGCACAAAATATGTTTATGTTTCATGTCAGATAAGCTTAAAATAACATCACTATGTTGCTAACTTCGACAGGCTTCACAAAATCAGCTAACAGCTACAGGAAGATGAGCAGAGGTGGATCCAGAGTAGTTCAAGTGATTTGTACAAATCACTCAAATTTTTTCAAAATCTTATTTCTCAGCTCTTTATTGCTGTTGACGAAATCAATTATCCTCCTTGTTTTATTGTTTATTATGAAATTAATAAAACAACTGAGAGATTATTCCGTCGATCACACAGCAAACCCAGCCCCTCCTGAGTGAAGTGGACGAGTCACCGTTCGCGCGGTTTCGTCCTTTGTTGATCTTTCGAGATCCACGCGAAAAAAAATTCACAGGCACGACCGGACAAGTTTCTACCTAGAGGGTAGGGAGTGGAAGCATGGATCTTTTCACAAATCACTCAAAACCCACTTTGATTGGTCAGAATCACTCGCATTGCCTTGCGAACTACTCAAACTCAATTGTGATTGGCTATTCAGGCCGCAAACTACCGTGCAAACTACTGACAATCATATATAAAGAGAAGCCTCTCCCTCAGAAGTCCCTTCGTTCTTGTTGAATTTGTAAACTCGCTTCGCGAAGACAAGAATACTTTGATTTATAAACCATGGTTTGAGGCGATCCAGTTTGTCGAAAGGAGGACTGTCCTCAGTATGATATTGGCTTGGTTTTCAAGGAAATCAGCCCGTATTCGGACCAGGATAAGCTCAAGTTCATAGAGAATGCGTGGAAACCGGGTGAGCTATTTGATTTCCCAGTGTCAGAGGAATGTTCGAATTCTAAGCGTCACTTTGTGTAGGGCTGGTTGAAAAGATTTCCCTGGCTAGCATACTCAAAATTTCTCGATGGTGTATTTTGTTTACCGTGTGTTTGTTTGGAGTCCAGTGTGGGAGGAATTCGAATAAACTCGATAAATTGTGATACAGAAACCTTTCATTACACGAATTTCCATTCGTGTCACCCACCAGGCGTCACGAAAGGCTTTATAAAACGAGAAGCGTCAAGGCTTCTGAGAACAAATTCCTCTCAATTTACTTTTGAGGAAAACATGAGTAATTTCAAAACACGCCTGCAGAATAGAGATTACCCAGCTGGAATTGTAGAAAAACACCTTTCAGAGATCAAATTCTCTGATAGAGAAATGTCGCTAGCGCAGAGAAACAAAACCGCACCTAAGAAAATACTGCCCTTTGTAACACAATACCATCCGGCTTCGCCTAACCTAAAGGACACACTCATGGGGAAATGGCACCTTATAGAAAATCAACCGCAACTGAGAGAAATCTTTAAGGAGCCCCCCATCATCTCATACCGTAAGGGAAAATCCCTAAAGGACATCCTAGTTAAAGCTAAGCTATGAAGGCTTTATTAGAATTTATTCTATCGCGAACTGCAGGAGTCGTGTAGGCTTGTCAACACTTTTATCAATGCTAATTCACTTGCTAGACCCCTTAGAC